GGAATAGCTAAAACAATTTTGAAAAAGAAGAATAAAGTGGGGAAAATCAGTCTACCTAGTTTTAAGACTTAGCTTACTGTAGCTACAGTAATCAAGGTTATGTGGTATTAACAGAGAGATAGATACAAACATCAATGGAACAGAATAGAGAACCCAGAAATAGACCCACACAAATATGTTCAATGAATGTTTAACAAATTATAACAGCAATTCAATGGAGTAAAGTAGCCTTTCAGTAAATAGTGCTGGAGCAGGTGCACATCCGTAAGCCAAAAAAAAAAAAAAAAAATGAACCTCAGGCTAAGTCTCACACCTTATACAAAAATTAACTCAAAGTGGACTGCAGACTTAAATGTAAAATATAAAACTGTAAAACTTTTAGGAAAAAAAGGGAGAAAGTCTTCAGGATCTAAGACTTGGCAAAGAGTCTTTAGAGATGTCACACCAAAAATATGAACATAAAAGGAAAAATTGATATATTGAACTTCATCAAACTTGAAAGCTATTGCTCTGCAAAAGACCCTGTTAAGAGGATGAAAAGACAAGTGATAGACTGGGAGAAAATATTTGCAACCCACATATCCAACATAAGGCTGGTATCAACATTATACAAAGAACTCTGGTAACAGTAAAAAGGCAAACAACCCAATTAGAACATGAGCAAAAACATGAAGAGACATTCCACCCAAGAAGATATATAGATGGCAAATAAGCACATGAAAAATGTTCACTATCATCAGTCATTCAGATTAAAACCACAATGAGATATCACCATGATGGGTAAAAAAATTTTAAATAATGACAATACCAAATGCTGGCAAGGATGAGGAGAAATTGGATTATTCATGTATTGCTGATGGAAATTTAAAATGATACAGCCACAGTTGACAGATTCTTAAAAAACTAACCATGCAACTACCATACAACTCAGTGATTACATTTCTGGGCATTTGTCACAAAGAAATGAAGACTTATGTTTCACAGGAAAACCTGGACACAAATGTTCATAGAAGCATTATTCGTAACAGCCAAAACTGGAAACAACCCAGCGGTTATTCAGCTTGTAGTTAAACAAACTGTAGTGTATCTGTGCCATGGAATACTACTCAGCAATAAAAAAGAATGAACTATTGATAGACACAACAGCCTAGATGAGTTTCCAGAGAATTAAGCTAAGTAAAAAAAAAAAGCCAGTTCAAGCAAGTTATATAGTATATGATTCCATCTTTATAAAATATTACTGAAATGGCAAAATTATAAAAATGGAAAACAGCTTAGGGGCGGATTAGGGGCAGGAAGAAAGTGAGTGTGTGTATAAAATGGCAACATGAGGGATACTTGTGGTGATAGAAATGTTGTATGTCTTGACTATATCAATGTCAATATCTTGATTGAGGTATTATACTATAGTTTTGTAAGATGTTATAATGGAGGGAAACGATAAAGTGTACATGAGGTCTCTCTATTATTTCTTACAACTGCATGTGAATCTACACTTAGCTCAAAATAAAAAGTTTTAACTTCAAAAATCTCAAAATAAATGTGTTTGTTATCTTGATTGTGACAATTTCATTATCAAAACTCATTAAGTTGTACACTTTAAATACGTTTTATGGGCCGGCCCCATGGCTTAGCGGTTAAGTGCACGCGCTCCGCTACTGGCGGCCCGAGTTCGGATCCCAGGCACGCACCGACACACCACTTCTCCGGCCATGCTGAGGCCGCATCCCACATACAGCAACTAGAATGATGTGCAACTATGACATACAACTATCTACTGGGGCTTTGGGGAAGAAAAAAAAAAAAGGAGGAGGATTGGCAATAGATGTTAGCTCAGAGCCGGTCTTCCTCAGCAAAAAAAAGAGGAGGATTAGCAAGGATGTTAGCTCAGGGCTGATCTCCCTCACCAAAAAAAAAAAAAAAAAAAAAAAAAAAACTGAAAAAAATAAATAAATACCTTTTATTTTTTATTTTTTGTGTGAGGAAGATCACCCCTGAGCTAACATCCAATGCCAATCCTCTTCTTTTGGCCGCGGAAGATTGGCCCTGGGCTAACATCTGTGCCCATCTTCCTGTACTTTATATAGGATGCCGCCACAGCATGGCTTGACAAGCGGTGCGTCGGTGCGTGCCCGGGATCCAAACCTGCGAACCCTGGGCTGCTGAAGCAGAGCGCGGGCACTTAAGCGCTACACCACTGGGCCGCCCCCAAATACGGTTTATTTTTGCATGTAAATTATGCCTCAGTAAACCTGGGTGGAAGGGAATAACAGTATTTCTCTTTCTTTTCTCCTCCTGAATAGTTCAGTCTTACAGCCATTAGGTGAGCCAAGGATAATAGGCATCCACACCAAAAGGGGGTGGAGGGGGCAGGTAGAGAGGTGTTGCAGTGTCCCAGAGCAGAGTGTTGGAGCCCAAGCAGGGTGAAGAGGGGCTTGGCATAGACTGGTTGCCTGGTGCAGGTGTTGCTGTCTACACAACACAGCTGCCAGGCACGTTGATGTCTAAGCACAAGTGATAGAAGAGGACAGCCATACATGGAGGGGACAGTAGTGATGAGAGATTGCTTACATACAGATCGATCATGTAAATATATTAAGGATAATGGAACCGTATTTCTCATTATTGGGGAAAGAAATTACAGACATGGAAAGGGAGAAAATTAGAATGAACCCTGTGATGTTGGATTGCAACTTGGAGGTATTGGTGTCAACTCACGACATTCAACATATAGCTGTATAGAGAAATAAGATTAAATATGTGAATGCGTGTGTGTATATATATACATATACATATTTCCTAGCTCTGTCCACTGAGAGTCGCCTAGAAGCAGCAACATCCTAATAATAATGAGTACATCTAACACCCTGACCTTGGCTTCTAAATACCATTGTCCATGAAAGCAATCAGGGCTACTTGAAGAAACGCATGAACCCAGGGCTGATGCAGGGAAAAGTATACGATGAGCTTGAAACATCCTATTGTGTCAGAAAATAAGAAATGCTAGAAATCAGAAGAACACAGAAAGCAGGTTGAAGTAACTAGCTCAATCGGTGACAATTTGGGCACCAAAATAAATATTGATAGTAACAGATTGAATTGAATCAAGTAGGAAATCAAGAGTCTGTATTGATATAAATAGCAAGTAAGTAAATAAGTAAATAGAAAATTTGATGTGGAGTGGGATATTTGATCTTAATGGCCGTGCTTTAATTTTGACTCAGATAATGTGAACATATATTACTAATATGATTAAAAATTAATTTCCACGATACAGCACATGACCTAAAGGATCTTACAATCTATTTGGCAGGAATGGAATAGGCTGTGAGAACTCTAGGATTTCTCTGCCCAGCATATTTTTCCCTTTCTTCACCTGGTAGCTGACTAGCTATGGGGAAAATGAAGAGGAAGGAGTATAGAATGGCTCTTGTGTTTCTTGCTTGGGTGTCCAGGTGCTACTAATTGATACTGGGACTATAAGAGGAAGAGAAGGTTGGGGGCAGAGGAGGATAGTGGGTTAAGTTTGGAAGATTGTACATTGAGGATGTTTAGCAAGCAGTTGGTTTCATTGACTTGAAACTCAGGAGAATCTAGCACTGAAATAGCTGACCACATGAGTAGATAACTCATCTAAGGAGGCTGGAGAAAGAGAAAAGCCAGTCGGCCCACGACAGAACCCTGGGTTAATCAGACATTTAGGAAAAGCTTTATGCTGTTTGGAATAGTGCTGTTTATAAGCAAGTACAATTAAAATCAAACAAGGGGAGCAAAATATTAAAATTTCAAAAAATTATAAACTACCCAAATGTCAACAAAAAGTAGAATTTAAGATTCTACTACTTAATAGGATGTTATCATTAAAAATGTTATTTGTGAAAGTTTATAATAACAAAAATATTTATTACTGTTTTTCTTTTACAATACATATTTTAGCAGTATAAAAATAGGCGTAGCAAAATCTGGAAAGAGATGCATCAAAACATTAACAGTAATTGTTTGAAGGTGAGAGTCTATAAGGTTCTTCCCTCTTCTTTTCCATATCTTTTGATTTGCTAAATGATACTTTCTAATAATGGAAACAGTCACAGAAAGGACTCTCTTCCACCCCTTACTAAGATAAACATGGTTACAGTTCCTAATTAACATGGAACCTGGACACATGGTGGGCCCTCAATACAGGCATGAATGTATCAGTACCTGCAACTGAAGGCAGTCACCTGAGATGTTCTTCCCTATGAAAAGCCTGCAGTCCTGCCTGCTGGAGAGCCTCGTGTCCTGCTGACCTGGATCTTGCAGGGCATGACAAAGGGTTCTGCCTCTACCCTCCCTGTCCACTGACACAAATGTCTAGATGGGCCTTTACCTGGGGTTCCCAGGAACCAGTCCTACTAGACTCACTGACGGGTCCCGGGGGAGTGAAAGCTCTTGTTGCTCCTCTGAAAACAACAACCAGCAGACTGTGAGCATCCTTCTTCTAGTCACTGGTCCTGCAGAGAATCACAGATGATGACTTCTTAATTTAGTGTATGGACTGCCATCTTGACGTCTCACTGTCCTTCTGATCTGTGCAGGCACTTCCAAGGCGCTGGGCTCTCGGGGGGCTGGCAAGGTCCATGTGGTAACTGCATCAGGGCCCCCAGCCCATTCCTGAACATTGGCCCTTAACACTGTTCAAAGCTCTTGACTTGTTCGTTCCAGTTCTCAAGACCAACCCTATTAGTACATATTAGTATCTCCAACATAATACGTGAGATCTGAGACTTAGGTTACTTGTGCAAGGCCAGGCAGCCAGTGCAAGGTTAAGCCTTAACACATCAATATTGTTACTCCATTTATTACTATGATCACCTTGGTGGAATTCCGTTGAGTGTGCACGGCAAAGCGAGCCTGTGTTCAGCAGGCGCAGCCCGCTTCTCCCCAGGCCTCTGAGCATCTTCTGAGGCCAGGCCTCATGTGGAGGTTCAGGAGCTGAGAGGCCACAATGCCAATATCTGTTTCTATATCTACTTCTGTATCTATTTCTCAAAAAGAGCTCCAGGGGATGGGTCACCTTTTAGAAGCCAAAGGAAGCAATCAGTAAGAGATGAACTAACTCCTTCCTTTCCCTAAGCACAAGCCCTGAGGTACCTAAAACTCATGCCCCCAGCACAGTACACGGAAAAGACACCACTATTACAGAGACATTGATTGGGGAGAATCAATATTCTCTTCAAGGAAGGAATTATTTTGGGGTGGGAAATTTTCCTCCGTGGGAATTCTGGAGAAGCATTTTTCTGTCTTCAGCAGTGGTGAGAGCGGCCAGAGGCCCCTGGCTGGCTTGACGCCTGCAGGTGGGGCTTGGATGGGGCACAGGCTCCCTGCAGGGCACAGATGAGGGATGCTTCTGACACAATAGATGGTCCTTAAATGCCACAACTTTCTGGGGGTGTCTGTCGTCATCTCTGATTTGTCTAATGCTTGCAGGATAACTCTGGCCAGCAAAAACAGCTTCCTGGCGGCAGGACTTGGTGTTTGTCACTTTACAGGAGGGAGCACTATAGTTGGAAGGATGCCCCTGGACCGGCTCTGCCTGGGCCTGCACTTCTGCCTTCTGCTGAGTTTTCCCAAACTTCCTCGGCGAGGGAAGGGCCTCTCGAGGACAGGTGGTATCTATCACATGCTGACACCCCAGTTTCTCCTCTGGGAACTTCCCAGTGTCTGTCATGATCTTCTGAGCTTTGGTTGTCCCAGTAACAGCAGCTCTCCTTGTAACTAGGCCTCTGCTCTGCTCAGATGAAATGGGGCTGCCCTTTTCCTGGGAATTTTCTTGCCTTTTGCCTTTTATCCTGGGATGAAGCCATTGCAAAAAGTGGTTCATTTTTTTCCTGAAGAGGCTCTCAGGAGGAGGCTGTCCCTTCTGTGATGGGGTCTGGGAAGACTTGCTCCCAAGCATCTCCTCTAATGCCATGTCCTGAGTAGGGAAACTCTTCCTTCTAGGTTGGGATGTCCCCAACCCTGCATCCCCTCCACCACACTCTTCTGCTTTGGGGCCCGGAGGGCTCACTCTCTCTGCAGCTGGTGGGAAATTCTTATCCTGGCACCTCCTTAAGACATGCTTAGGAACCCAGCGCTCCTGCCGCTGCTCCATGCTGATTCCTCTGTCCTCCAAATGGACATGCAGCACCTGGGAAGCTCCCATGTCCCCAGTGGAGACACCCTGGGCATGAGTCAGTGAGGCCTTGTAAGTCAAGCTCTCTGAGGGAAGGGGCCTGTCAGTGGGTTGGCCTTGGGCCTGGCTCTGCTCCCTCTTCTCCAGAATTTAAACTTTAATTCACCAAACAGATCTTCTTTAAGGTCTGATGATTTAGGATCTCGGGGAACTGATCTTTCTGGTGGGGGGCTTTCAGTGGTCACAGTAGTTTCTACTTGAATCTCACTCACATTTACCATTTGGGAGCTTCCCGGCTTGCTGGTTGTCAAGATGTCACTGGTTTTTGATTGAAGAGCATGGAGCTCTGAATATGTCCCTGGACACGTTGAGCACAGAGAAAGATTCTGACCTCTCTGTCTTTTTGCCCTGTCGTGTTTCTACGCCGTCCCTGGAACTCACACTCTTATCCTTTGGCTCACATCTGGCCCCACCTTGCCTTGTGGGCAGTTTTTGGGGGGCATCTGTTGCCTAGTTGAGTCTGTCTCTGACTTGCTTTGCCTGTGATGCTGTGTGTGACAGGCAGAAGAGTCCGTCTGGCACCATTAATTCTCTGAACATCCTCTGCAAGCTCATGGTTGATACCAGACGGTGATTGTCTCAGGGTCCCCTGTCCTTCCTTGCCCACAGGTGAGGTATCTGAGAGAGGACAATCAGGATGGGGCTGAATTTGTTTTCCAGCTTTGTCTCCATGAACAGATTTAGAGCTTCCCCTAAGGGGCTTGAAGTGTCCAGATTTGGAGTGCTGGAGAACCCTGTTCTACAGAAATCCCAAACTCTCTAAATAATCCATTCCAGGACTACAGAATCACTGTGTTTAGGATTTTATCTGGGAACCCGCCACCACACCCAGAGAGTTTCTTGTGATATTGGGATTATAAAAAATATATATTTGGTTACTGAGATGACCAAAATATATTTCTCATATGTATGTGGTCTTACTCCACAGTTCTTGGCTCCAAGCTCCCAAAACCCTTGGAATTTCTTGTTTATGTTACTGCAGGTGACTTTTGGACCCCACCCAAGTGTGGGGGCTGGTTGCCAGGGGAACCAGGCATGTGATAAGAGAATTGGAACTTTCAGTCCCACCCCGTGATTTCCAGGGAGGGGAGGTTGAATCAATCGCCAATGGTCAGTGACTTAGTCAATCATGACTATGTAATGAAGCCTCCATGAAACCCAAAAAGGACAATTCATTGGCCCTTTTTCAGAGAGCTTCCATGTTGGGGCAACAGAACCTTTCCAAGTGCCAGTGTTGGGCCCCAAGCTCCACCAGGACAGAAGCTCCTTTGTTCACACCTTGCCCTACATATTTCTTCATTGGCTGTTGATACATATCCTTTAATATCCTTTCTAATAAATCAGTAATCAGTAAGTGGGTTTTCTTGAGTTCTGTGAACTGTTCTAGCAAGTTTTTTTTTTTTTTTTTGCAGGGGAAGATTCGCCCTAAGCTAACATCTGTTGTCTGTCTGCCTCTTTTTGCATGTGAGCCTGTGCCACAGCATAGCCACTGACAGGTGAGTGAGGTAGGTCCTTGCACAGGAACCAAACCCAGGCCACCAAAGCATAGCATGCCAAAGTTAACCACTAGGCCACTGGGGCTGGCCCTCTTCTTCCTCCTTTTTTCTTCCTTCCCCCACCCCTCAAAAGCCCCAGTACATGGTTCTAAGTTCTTCTGGTTCTTCTATGTGAGCCACCACCACAGTATGGCTACCGACAGACAAGTGGTGTGGTTCGGCACCTGGGAACTGAATCTGGGCTGCCAAAGTAGAGCAGGTCAAACTTTAACCACTAGGCCATCAGGGCTGGCTCCCATTCTAGAAAATTAATCAAACCTGAGGAGGGGGTTGTGGGAACCCCCCGTTTGTATCCAGTAGGTCAAAAGCACAAGTAACAATCTGGGCTTGCAGCTGGCATCTGAAGTGGAGTGTTGTCTGCGAGACTGAGCCCTTTACCTGTGGAATCTGATTCTATCTCCAGGTAGATAGTGTCAGAATTGAGTTGGATTCTGAGACACCATCCTGGCATCCGAGAACTACTTGTTGGTGTGGGGAAGCCTCCACACACACACACACATTGGAATTGGGTCCAGTAACCCTTCTGCAGTTGGTGTCAGTGAATTAGATTTGCTAGAATGTCCCTGGCTCATGGAAACTTGTGGTTTTTGAAGAGAAAGGATAAAAGGGCAGGGGATGAGGAACCTTTGATCCCTGGATGGCTACCTAGTCACCCATAGTATGAAAGTATGGCTGCGCTGCAATCAGTTACTAAAAGTAAAAGTTACAGAGGAATTTAGAAATGGTAGTAGACCTGACTCCTGAGGAGTTGGCTCGTTGGATATGTAAGGAAATGCAAAATAATAAGCATGCTAAATAGACAACTCCCTGGTTATTGCTATCTGTAATAGCCAAAATGAAAGTAAAAGAAAGTGCTGGGTCAGGCCTTGATGCTGAACCAAGCTCTCAGATTTGATTGGATCTGAGCTTCGGCCGTTACCCTCAAAGCCTCCGAGAAAAGGAAAAATTATGCAAGGGCAACAGAAAGTACCTCTAAGAACTGTCATCACCAAGAAGGTAGTTAATGTAGGGAAGGACAAAATCAAGAAACGACTAGAACCAGGGCATACAGTGTGAAGGAACTGGCTCATTTTGTGCATCGGTATCATCAGCTTCGTGAAGAGCCTTTACCAAAATGGATTGTGAGAGTAATCAATTTGAGGGCTGTGTCTTTGGTTTTGAATGCTGCAGAGTGGAAGAGCATGTTTGGGCTGATGCAGAACCTGCAGCTCACTACTGAACAATCAAAGATGGCTGTACGTGATCCAGACACACAGAAGGTTATTCCTGAGGGAACAGCCAGCCTGGAGGACTGATAAAAGCCACTAAAGTGTGTTTATCCTGAGAAGGGGGACTGTCCAACTCCCTCTATGAATGCCAAATGCAACACCCCAGATGAAGCAGCTAATATGCTTCATATGCAAGCCATATGGGACTGGCTTTATGATGTCCAGGACATTCACCCACTGAATATGCTGGTTGTCAAGATGTCACCAGTTTTTGATTGAAGACCACTGAGCTCCTTGGCCCTGAATATCTCTCTGGACACGCTGAACAAAGAAAAAGGTTCTGACTTCTCTGTTTTTTTGCCCTGTTGCATTTCTACTCTGTTCTTGGAACTCACACTCTTCTCCTCTGGCTCATGTCCGGCCCCAGCTTGGCTTGCGGGCAGCTTTGGGGGACATCTGTTGCCTAGTTGAGTCTGTCTCTGACTTGCTTTGTCTGTGATGCCATGTATGACAGGCAGAAGAGTCTGTCTGGCACCCTTACTTCTCTGAACATCCTCTGCAAGCTCTTGGTTGATACCAGAGGGTGATTGTCTCAGGGTCTCCTGTCCTTCCTTCCCCACAGGTGAGGTGGCTGGGAAAGGACGATCCAGGACCGGAGCTGAATTTGTTGTTCCCACTTTGTCTCTAGGAAGAGATTTAGAGCTTCCTCTAAGGGACCTGAAGCCCCCAGATTTGGAGTCCACCTCAGAAATCAGGTTGCTTGAGGAGGGAAAGTGGGAATGGGATAATGACTGGGATGCAGCATCTTTTAATTTAAAGATCTATATGGATTCAAGGACCCTGTGGGGAAGGCCCCACACCATCCTCAAATGAAACCTTTTAATATGGGCTTCCAGCATCTGCCATACACTGGAATCAGTGAAGGAAGGTATTGAGGGAGTAGTCCCCACCCACTGATGGTGGCAAACTTCTCTGTTTTCTTTGGCTGTGCAGTTTCACACAAAGCAGCAATGTCTGCTTGATAGCATAACGTGAACTATGCACAGTCCCAAGGACCCAACCCTCATTGATTTCCTTCAACTTCTTGCTCAAATGTACTTTCAGGACATTTTCAAATTGTTTCTGATCTAGACTCCCCCCTGAGGCCCTTGAATTTTTCCCTGACAGACTTGCTATGTGACTATTTAGGTCTTTCTCAGAGTCATACCCCAGATTCTTATCTGAAGAGCTCTCTGGGTCACTCAACAGATAATCTTTTGGGCCATTCTCTGGGGTATGTCCCTGATCCTTCCCCACGTCCTTCACTAGCTGAAGCATTTCTGAGCCCAACTCAGAGAAGCTTCCAGCTTGGCTCAACTGAACATTTAGATTTTTGTTGACAGAGATATATGAGAGTCCATGATTGCTCTCCAAATCAGATAAGTCTGAGAAATCTCTCAGAGGCATCATCAGTGACAGAGACTCATGGATCCTGCGGAGCAGGCCTCACCAGTGTTGGATGAGCCTCTTTCAAAAGTGATGCTCTAGTTTCTTCCGAAGCTCATCACTGAGAAAAAACTCTCCAGGAAGGATGGAGATTGAAACATGGGCCTGGGAGGCCCAGTGGTAAGAGAGTTGGGAGCTGAAGGACAAAAGTCTTCCGGAGATCTTTAGACCACAGAAGGTAAACCCCACAAACTTTCCTGTTGCTTATGCAACACATTCCATTCCAGGTGTTGAATTTCAGGTGAGATAAGAGACTCCGATTCATTCTTCAGTCTATGGAAACATACTCTGCACATGCTAATCTGAGATAGAGGACTGGATGATAGGATTGGGAGTGGGGACTGAAGGTGGGCCTGGAGCTGGACCTAAGTGAGAGACAGGGACTGGGATTAGGGCAGGGTTTGAGGCAAGGGTTGAGCCTGGATCTCAGGCAAGGACAAAGGTAGAGGATGGGGAAGTACTTGGGATTCTTGGTCCATGGAGGCATTCAAGATTCTCTTGAAAATGAAGATTGAGGAACAGTCACCTGAGATATGGACAGCAGAGGGCAAGGACTTGCTGTGCAGAGATGGGAGACTCCAGAAGAGCTGGATATGTTTTTGCTGTAAACAATCCTCTGAGGTCTTAGGATATAGGGGCTGCTGGTGCACGTGTAGCTCCTTTGGTTTGCCTTTGCTGCTCCAGAAAGGAAGGGAGAGTGCCAAGTCATGGTTATTAGCTTATCAGTTGCCTATAACATTTTCCCTGAGGAATTTAGTTGGTAGTCTGCCATAAGTTGTTTTGGAAAAGAACCCTTTTTCTTTTCCTTTTCTTTCAACATCAGGAAATAACTCCTCTATTGGACTTATCTCTCCAGGAGTGCCAGAAAATCAGGGCTGAGAAACAGGAGGTTACCAGGCTCTACAAGGCTGGCTGCAGGGTCTCCCCC